TAAAATTTTAGTTTCCATCACATTTTTAGCTCACCTTGACATCGTCAAGCTGAGCTATTGCGATGGGTCGTCGTCCGTCCGTCAACATTTCGCTTCGGTCAACGATAACTCAGGAACCGTTTGGCCCACATGTTTGAAATTGGGTATATTTGTTACTGCTATGCTCCCATATTAAACGTCCTATATTGAAGCACGCCAGTCGACGTACTTTCGAGCCACGGCAATTTTTTGGCAAAATTGCGATATACAGATGGCAATCGTTTCTATAATGTACGTCGATGGTTGCTCAATTAAAACTGACTTCTTCTTACTCACTCATTTGTGTCCTTTTTTGCGGTGAGCTACAGTGTCATTGACACTTTCATTGTTGAGTTACTATCGAACAACGATTACTTTACATTAGAAAGAAAATGTGACTGAAGCCGACTGAAGGCGCTTAAAACCTTTGACTAGCGTAGGTCAATCAGGAATGAATCCTATGCAAGGTAATTTTGAGCCTTTATTCCGTCACCATTTAAATACTTAAAATAATTTAATGGCTTAATTGTTGGTCTAGGGGTATGTTTCTCGCTTCGGGTGCGAGCTGTCCAAGGTTCAACTCCCGGACAAGCCCCTCCTTTTACGGAATGACCACAACGATTACAATGATAGCAATTAGTCAAAAACGACACCATGACTAAATGAAAATTCATGGCTTGTTAGTCTAGGTTGGCACGAGGTTGTTTCTCGCTTCGGGTGCGAGCTGTCCAAGGTTCAACTCCCGGACAAAAACAAAAAAAGAGAGACAATAAGCTTAAAACCATCAACCAGCTCATTAGTTAATTGGGCATGCTTCATGTGCAAGGTAGATTTAATCCTTTATTTTATCACCATTTGGATATCTTACATACCACTGAAATTGAATACAATTAACGACAGTTAGTGGCGCTGAAGGGGTCGTTGTCGTATCAGGTACTACAGATATGTACCCGAGGTACGTATATGTATACACAAGTGTACCAGACC